GATGCTTCATCACGAATATCCAAACTGGTCTATGAAACTTGGACGGCTACATTGTTTTTCCACTTGTAATACTCTTCCTCCAGATTTCCTCAAGGAAACTACTCGATCTCAAGCGTGCATCACTTGGTACCCAGGTCATATAAGAGACCACTGACGGTCACTATTACATTCTCTCCCATTTTGATCCCGGATAAACCAGGTAGCTGTGCTGTCAGTGAGCCTCACATGAGAATTTTTAATTCTTTATTAATCAATATTTAAAAGAATTTCCCAAGCCAACTTGAGTATACTTCAGTAGTAAAATACGTGCCTAGTAAGTGAATGGTCTAGGCTCAATGTCCAACACCATAAAAACATTTTGAAAATAAGCCAGGCAAACCAACCATCCACACCTGCAGGCCAAGGCAACAGGATCAACAAACACTTGATGACATAAGCCTGAGATGAAGTCAGCCTGATTAAGTTCTCCAGATCCCGTTTCCAAAATATAAAAATCCCAGACCCAATAACTTGCTCCTGCAAATTCTGGCCTATTTTCAAGACAGTCTATGGATGTTTTCTCTTCCCTTAAAAACAGTTTTTGAGCAGACGGTGGTGGTGCACACCTTTAATTCCAACACTCAGGAGAAAGCAGCAGATGAATCTCTGAGTTATGGCCAGCAGGACAGCCAGGGATATACCTTTGAGACAGGAAAAACTCTGTCTCAAAATTTTAAAACATTGACAGTCACATTAGAATATTACATTCTGTTTAACACACATTCACAAACTTGCTATTCCTGTTGAGATTTTGGGTTTTGCTTTTGTTCTGTAAGACAGGATTTCTATGTAGCTTTGGAGGCGAATTCAGAGATCCACCTACCTCTACTAGGATTAAAGGTGTGTGCCACCACCGCCCGTCTGAGATTTTAAGTAGCCCAGGCTGGCCTCGAGCCGTGGATGAGCCTGATCACCAGAGCTCCTTCCCAACAGCCATCTGGAAGTGTGTCTGCACCCTTTCATCCTCCTCAGTCTGCTGGGACATTCTTTTACTTGTAAACTAGGGATATCAAAATAGTCTGGGCCAGCACTGACATGTTCCAATATTATTTAAATGTTTTGCTTTCTTATGTACCAAACTGTTTTTCTAATACAGACTGGATGAAATGCAACTGGGAGAAAATATTTAGGATAATATAACTTCAGATTAAATTAGGGACATAGATAAATGCTGCAGACATCAGTAGTTTATTGTTTTAGTCCAAACACATTCAAAATGGAAACTCAAAAATACTTTCCACTTGAAACAATTAAACTAGATTCTACCAGCATATAATGCTTAACACATTACAAAATAAAGATGGTAATCCATTGTCCTCTATACCTACTAAAGCCAAGATGGTAAAGCCAATTTGGTTGCAATAGTGTCATAAGGATAGAATATTACCATCAAAATAAAATAAATCAGAAAATAACAGAAATGGTAGATGAGTAATGGTTTAGTTTGTCACTGAAAAGGGGACAAAATATTCAAAGTCCACAGTTCTGCAGGTGAAGCTACCATGTAAACTTCTCCGTGTGATGTGTTCATGTCTCATCTGTGGTATGTGAAGGCTAGATGAAGCTAAATGGCTCTGAGCTTCACTTTTCTATCACACTTAACATCTCTGTCTTTCGTTGCCATAACAGTTTCTATGGGTTACAGGGCAATATCCTGGATTGAAATATATATGCTTGTGTCCACGTGTTTTTATGTGTGTGCAAGTATTTACACATACATACAATAGGAAGAGGGAAATAAGAACAAAAGAAAAATACACTTAGGGGAAAACCGCTGACAATAAAGCCACTTATTTCAAAGTAGTTTGGATAAAAGTTTCAAAACTCCAGAGTAATTCTCTAGTACGAACTTCAAGTACTATACATTAGAAAGTGTAAAACTGTTTCAAACAAACAAAAAACCTTAGCCTTCCAAAATGGAAACTACAAAAATCTGTGTCCACAAAATATATGCAATAGTGCAAGACATTTCCTCAAACATGGAAGACCTCATTCAAAGGGGAAAGAGACAATAAATTTTACCCATATTGCCCAGCTGACAAAAACGGTTTACTAACTAGCAAACAGTCACATAGTTCAGAACCGACTGGCTACCATGTCAAGTGTGTGTTTGTTTTCACTAAGGTAGAATGGAGAAGTCTTCCATGTTAACTAACAAGCAGCTTTGAGTGGTCACACTTGTTTACTCCGCTTCTTGCTTGAAACAGCAGAAATGTGATACACACCGACTGTCCCAACCATAAAAGCAGATAACCTTTGTCATTCTTGTGGTTTACTGGAACCTGCTATAAAGACACAATAAATCCAGCAGCTAGAAACTTTGCTCACAGAATTGTTTAAAGATTCATGTAAAAATAAAAAGATGTCGTCCCAGACTTAAATTCAGGAGTCATTCGGGTGCTGACATCAGTTCAAGAATTGTGCAAAATGAATGACAGTTCCCTGCCCCCCAAATCTTCAGAACTGCCATTCTTCCCTCTGAAAACTGCAGTATCCTCACTTAAGTTTACTTGCCATTTTGGGGACTCTGACTGCTTTTAAAATGTGACTAAAATGTACATCAAGTTGTTTTACTTTTCCAAGCATTAAGTGATAACGTTTTATAGTTCACATTTGAGCTAAAAGTCAACTAGACTTACTCAAATAACTGACTTCCGCCCCCTTCAAACACACAAGACTCCCTCCCACATAGAACATAGAAGTTGTTAACTAAAGAACAAGATAAATAAGCATCCATTTTACTGATTTTAAAGATACTGCAATTTTTATACATCAATGATTTTCTTCAACGTTTTGCAGCTGGTTGGCTTCGCAGCGCAGCAACCGATAACCACACTGCACAGAATCACCAGCGAGACTGGAATGATGTTGTAGAAGGCACCATCATGCTTATTACATTACCAGAGAACAAAAATACAGGAAACAGTTTTCACTGTCCACAGCTTAAAGAAAGGAAAGAGGAGGAGGAGTGTGTTGAGCAGCCAGCCATCCCTGTGCTCAGGAGGGCAGGTCGAAACTCTTACAATAAGGAGCCGCTAAATCTGGCCTAGTATTTAAGACCACAGCATTTGAGGTTCTCATTTTTGTTATTTCGTTCATAACTAAATGATTTCCTTCTGTAATATTTGCAGTCTTGTTAAGTAAGGTTTGTGTGCACACGCTGGTCACAGCAAGCAGATAAAATGCCCTCATCATTTCACAAACTATTCTCTACTGGAAAAGATGATGAAAGATATTTTTCCCTGTTGCCTCCTGGAGCAGATGTCAACGTTAATGACTTCAGAGTACCTGATAGTGCATTTTGATGAATACATAACAAGTTTCTGTTGGTTTGTATTGGGGGGAAGCCAAGAAAAAAAAAAAAGGCAAGATTCTCCAATTGCACAAATTGCACTATTTGTGTTTCCAACATTAAGAGCAGAAACAGTTAACACTTAAACAAAATGTGCAGCAGAGAATTAAAAAAACAAAAACAAAAACTCAAATGACCTGAATTCAGTGGGCATATCCTTTAAAGTTCGTTTTGTTGTAGACAGTTTAAGATATGGTCATTTCTCAGTCCTTAATTCTCCAAGTCTGGATTTATAAATTAACAATATGAATCCTGTTGTGAAATTGGGGGAATAATGTCCACTTCAATTTAACTGATAACCAAAAGATGCTTTCACATCAAAGAAATGATCAAAAAGGCTGTGTCACATTCCAAAAGCCAAAAAAACTTAACAAGAATGCAAACACGATGAGTTAGGTACCACTGCCGAAACTTTGCCCACAGTGGAACTTCAACGACGCTGTCCTGTGAAGCGGCCTTCCATTTGCCCGGTTCCTCTTCCAGAACCAAGTTTCTGTGCCATGCCACCTCGTGGAGGTGGTCCTCTTCCATCACGATCACGCATCATTCCACCACCCACAATTCCACGTGGACCACCAGGACCTCGATCATTGCGCCTGATATCCCTGCGGTCATCACCTCCACCCCTGGTTTCTCGCTCTCTGGCAGCTCTCGTTTTCTTCTCTTCCACATTTAAGCGTACTTCTCCTCGAAACATAATTGGCTTTAAAAAGGAGAAAAATAACATGGGTGGGATACACAAGAATAAACATTAATTTGCATATACAAATTTAAAAAAAATCTAAGGAATAAGAAACTTTAACAAAGTTTTGATATACAAATTTTGGCCTTTTTCAGTCGAACAAATGAAATTTAAGATGATAAACACAATAGACCTCTTTATTCATTCTTTGCATAAATACCATTTCATAATTAACTATTTTTAGCTTACCATAAATATTTTTATGGTTTTAAAATGTTTCAATTCATACTATGTACTACAAAAGGGAAAATCTTGAATTAAGCCCGGTAATTCACTTACTTTTGCAATTAAGATTCTCTGAACTGGTTCAGAATCATCAAAAACCACAAAACCAAAATTTGGAAGTTTTCCCCCAACACCCTTGGTATTGATGCGAAGTTCCACAACGTTTCCAAAACCTGTGAAAATATACATTACACCAAGGGTTAAATATTTTAACAGAACATTCTAGTGACTTTAAATGCTTCTCATCCAGCTGAAAATAAAACAAGGTGATTCTTCAAGTGCCACCTGCTCAGGAGGACCTCAGCTCAGACCCCTAAAATGCGGCAGGCGTGGGTCACTAGTCCTCAGAAGGAAACACTACCGGTCAAGTTTTAAAAAGACAAAAAATTTTTCCCCGTCTTTACCAGCAAGTCTTCAAGTTCTAAATGTAAGACTCAGCAGTCACTGGGGATCATGTTATCATCTCTTCCCTTCTGACCAAGTCTAGTGTGACTGGAAGCAGGAGATACAATATAGAGACAAGTAATTTAAAAACTGGGCTTCACTATGAAAAGAAATACCTATTTCTTCCTTTTAAAAAGCTGTATTTAAGTTCAAGAATAAAGGGAACCTTCATGTTCAAGGCATGCTAGGTGGTGGAGTTGTTGTACTGAAAACCGTGGAGTCCTGTGGTCCACTTGGACAGGACACCCCCAACCAGTCCAGATTCTCTTGCTCATGGAGGGCAGGTCAGGACCACAGGCAGGAGAGGACTGAGCCCCGGCGAGCAACTATAGTGGTCTGAAATACAGTAAATCTAATATAAAAGCAAAACTAAGCACTTACTCATAAAGAATTCTTTCAGTTCATTTTCATCAATATCATGAGGCAAGTTACCAACAAAAAGCTGATGACTATCTGGATAACGAATTATTCTCCGGTTGTCAGAGTCATTCTGTTCCATATCTCCTCTGCCTGAAAGACAGGAAAAAAGTAGATACTAAAGTCATGTTTCTCCAGTATTACTCAACAAACAGGGAGATTGTGTCTATACGTTTAAAAAATCTGATTCTATGGGACAACAGACTTGCTCTGCTCCGTTCTCCTCTGACGACAAATACGCTTCAAGGTGCTCATGACCCAGCAACCGCGTCCTATTCTCTGAGAGTTCGTTAATTTCATCTGCTGCCCGCCCCCAGGCCGATTATCAGTAACCAAATGCATCAATCCGTGAGCAGTGACACCTTCCCGTACTGCTTGGAATCCTATCTCATCATGTGATTGAGTCTATCATAATGGGCATCTCCTGTAAAAGAAACGATCTTAACTTTGTTTTTCATGCTTTGAATTAATGCCAGGTTATTAAAGATTAAAATGACTTGGAAAAAAAAAAAAGAATGAGCAGTTCTCTAACCAAACAAATGGAAGGAACCCTATATGACAAGAACTTTAAATCTTTGAAGGAAGAAATTGAAAAGATCTCCCAAGCACTTGGGTAAGACTTAACAGAGTAAAAGGCAATCTTGCCAAAAGCAATCTACAGATTCAATGCAATACTCATCAAAATCCCAGCAAAATTCTTCACAGACCTCAAAAGAACAATACTCAACTTCATATGGAAAAGCTAAAAAACCCAGGATAGAAAACAATACAATAAAGGAACTTCTGGAGGCATCACAATCCCTGACTTCAAACTCTACTACAGAAACAACCTAAATGCCCCTCGACCAAAGAATGGATAAAGAAAATGTGATACATTTACAAAATTGAGTACTACACAGCAGGAAAAAAAAATGACATCTTGAAATTTGCAGGCAAATGGATGGATCTAGAAAACAAACTGAGTGAGGTAACCCAGACAAATCATATGTACTCACTCATAAATGGTTTTTAAACATAAAGCAAAGAAAACAGTCTACAGAGAACCTAGACAACAAAAACGACCCTAAGAGAGACATACATGGATCTAATCTAACAAGTAAAGTATAAAAAGACAAGATCTCCTAAGTAAACTGGGAACATGGGAACCATAGGAGAGGGAGAAAAGGGGAGAAGGGAATGGGGAGGAAGGGAGGGGAGTAGAGAAAAATATATAGCTTAATAAAAACAAAGAAATAGACAGGGGGGAAAAAACGAATAAGCAGCTCAGATTTAGGGATGTCATCAAGATCATGATAGTCAAGGTCAAAGCTAATACAGGCTGCCAAATGGAACACTGGAATTCACTTACTTTAATCATAAATTACATTTCTAAATTTGAGACACACACATGCACGAACATCCAAAAGCATTTTTTTTTAAGAAAAGATAGAATTTCTATGTGTAACAGCCCTGGCTGTCCTGGAACCTGCTTTGTAGACCAGGAAGGCCTTGAACTCACAGAGATCCACCTGTCTCTGCTTCCCAAGTGCTGGGATTCAAGGAGTGTGCCACCACCCCCTATTTATACATGTCTTAGTGTTTTGCCTGCCTATATGTCTGTGCACCACCAAGTGCATACCTGGTGCTCAAAGAGGTCAAAAGAGGGTATCTCATCTCTTAGAATGGGAGCTACAGACAATTCTGAGCTGCCACACGAGTACTGATAAACTGAACCCAGTCCTCCAGAAGAGCAACCAGTACTCTTCAACACTGAGCCATCTCTCCAACCTCCAAAAGCATTCTTAAAATTCTCAGGGAATTCAAATAACCATATTAGTTAACACCTTAGTTAATGATGAAAAGTTAAGAAAAAATAGAATTTAAGAGGAATCAGTGTTTTTCCTGAAGAGATAAAAAAGTGTAGGGTGAGCTGGTCACTAAAAGTTCAATTTAGAATTCTTAAAGCCACAACAAGCAAATGTTTTATGCCTTCAAAAAACTCTCCGCAGGTGACAAATCCTCTCTTCAAAGTTGTTAACCCAGTGGCCCATAACCATACTGATGAATATTTTGCTTATCACCATAGATCCTTCATCTGGCGATGGATGGAGATAGAGACAGAGACCCACATTGGAACACTGGACTTAACTCTCTAGGTCCAAACGAGAAGCAGAAGGAAAGAGAACGTGAGCAAAGAAGGCAAGATCAGAGGGAACCTTCATCCGACGATGGATGGCGATACAGACGGAGACCCACATTGGAGCACCGGACTGAGCCCCGCAAAGTCCAAATGAGGAGCAGAAGGATGAAGAAAATGAAAAAGGAAATAAGAACTGCGAGGGATGTGATCACCCACTGATACAAGGGGACTGATCTAATGAGAGTTCACCAAGGCCAGTTGGACTGGGACTGAACGAGGACGTGATCCAACCAGATTCTCTGAATGTAGCCGGATTCTCTGAATGTGGCTGGACTGGAGTCTTTCTGAAAAGCCATTGACAATGACACTGGGACTTGTTTCCTCTGCATATACTGGATTCTGGGGATCCAGTCTATTAGGATACTCACCTTCCTGGACCTGGAGGGAGGGGGGAGGAACTTGAACTTCCCACAGGGCAGGAAACCCTGACTGCTCTTAGGGATGGAGAGGGAGGAGGAGAGGGAGTGGGGGGAGTGGCAGGGTGTTGGGAGGAGGGGCGGAAATGGAAACTTTTATAATTTAAAAAAATTACTTTCTCATAAAAAAAAAAAGTGAAAATAAATAGGAAGGCTCTACTGAAAGGGCAAACAAATATCAAGTCTCTCTCATCCTATACGCCGTGGCCAAAAATTAATTTACCTTATTTAACTCCATTTTATCTCATTTATGGTTAAAAAGAAATTTTTCTTTCCTAACTTTGAATAAAGAATGACTCAAATTTAATCTAAAAAAAAAAAAAGTTGTTAACCCAGGCTATCTAAGCAGATTGTGCAGAGATAGGAACACGCTGCTTTACTTGAACCAGGTACAAAACCCAATACAGTTTTTAACGTTTAGCCTCCAACTGTCCAATACATCCGAAGGCCATGTAAGGGCTGAGCTTACCTGGTCTTGGTCCTCGAGGGGGGAACCCAGGTCGCTCTCGAGGTCGCTGTTCACGCACTCGTGGTGGCTGAGACTGAACTTCTGGTTTAGCGTCAACCCTTGGCTAAAATACAATGGAAAAATTATTAAAACTTTTTATATTATAAAGAAATAACTTCTACTGGAGGAAAAGCCAACCAAAGCAACTAGCAAGGATAATGATATTAAGTTTATGGTGTTTTCACCTAATTTTCTATGTTTGAAAAATACTTTTAAAAAACTATTCTGTACCAAGCTAGGACTGTAGGGTAGATCTTAATTTTGTCACAAGATTGTAGTAGAATTCACACTGAGCTGCCTTTGCACAAAACACTCTTTAAAATTCAAATTATACTCACAATGAAACAGCATAAGTTATTGCTACAGAAATCACAAAATGCAGGATGAGCAACTCCATATACATACATAAGACAAAGTTTAAAAGCTTTCTTATAAAGACAAGAATAAAGACACATAATTCCTCAATAAATATCTAGTTGCTACCTTCAGACAATGACATCTCCTAACTCCATCCCATAATCTTGAAACCAATATTTTAATAGTTCGAACACATAAACCTTTAGCACGGTGCCAAGTGCCTATAATCCCAGCACTCTGTAGGATTTCAAGTTTGAAACCGCCTTGAAACAGGAAGACCACATCTCAAAAATAAAAGCATCAAGAGCTTCCATATAACACCTCAAATAGTCAAAGAAGCCCATTAGGAAGGATTGACCCTCCCTAAATGGGGTGGGAAGTGACAGGACTGTTTTGTCAACTGCTGACTTAGATACACTGAAATCTTGTAAACGATAAATACCACGCACACTTAACACGACAGCATTCTCAAACCCTGCAAGCTTTCTACTGCCCAAAGATTTATGGCCCAAGCAAAACACAAAACTAATGAATGAATCCTCAAAGGACACCCCCCAACTAAGAGTCAGCACTTCAACTATCGAGGAGGACCTTGATCTAAGCAGCACTCAATTTTTCATTAATTGGGACGTTCTAATTTGCAAGTACTATGGTTCTTTCAAAACTGCCCATTTAGATAGCAGCTACTGTAACCATGATATATATATATTACAACATTAACAATTATTTAAAGATTTACCTACTTCTTACATCTTCCTATGTAAACTATTTTTCCACCAGATGAGATCACACGTCCTGGAATCTGCCTATTAACAAAATTAATTTTACTGGGTGTGGTAGCACATCTCAGCACTTAGGAGGCAGAGCCAAGGGCATTTCTGTGACTTAAAGATCAGACAGAGATCTACAACAAGGATTTAGTTCTCATTTTTGTTATGAAGCCAATCTAGCTATCTTGCTTTGTATATACAGGAAGGGGCAATCCTGGAGAGAACTGGGTTTTTAGCCTTTTTTTTAAATTTTACTTTTATGTGCCTTGGTATTCTGCCTACATGTCTTGTATTTCTGTGTGAGGTTGCTAGATCCCCAGGAACTAGAGTTACAGACAGTTGTACCTGCCATGTGGGTGCTGGGACTTGAACCCCTGTCCTTTGGAAGAACAGTCAGTGCTCTTAATCACTGAGCCAGCTATCTCTTCAATCCCAGTCCAGTTTGATCTTAAACAATTCTTTCCTCACTGATGGGACTGCAGACATGCACCACTGAAAGAACCAAGCACGGGGGGCTGGAGAGATGGCTCAAAGGTTAAGAGCATTGCCTGCTCTTCCAAAGGTCCTGAGTTCAATTCCCAGCAACCACACGGTGGTTCACAACCATCTGTAGTGAGGTCTAGTGCCCTCTTCTGGCCTTCAGGCATACATGCAGACAGAATACTGTATACACAATAAA